TTAAATCTTCAATTCGAAATCTCGGAAATAATATTTCAAATTTTTGCAAAAGAAGATAGTATATTAATTATTGTCTTGTTTTCTAATAACAAAAAAATAATAATCAATTGGAAGTAAAACTATAAAAATGTTTTGACTTTGTTTAATTTCAAATTATTATTTCATTATTTCACAACTCTCCTCCACCGCACATTTTTTGTAATATTGATATAATTAGAGATGTAAAACTATTAAAATAATTAAAAATATAAAAAAATTTAAAATTTATCAAAAAAAATTAAGTCGAGATTGACATATTTAATTGTATTTATAAAGATTTTTAAACTCAACGGCATAAGACGATTGATTTATTCCTATTAAAGAACGTAATATAAAGAAAGTGCCAAATAATTAGGTAAATTGAAAAAAATGAGTTTTATCTAAAAATTTATTTTAGGATAAGAAGATAGATAGTAATAATAGCAATACGAAAAGAATAAACAACAGCCATTTATGGATTAGGCATGGTGGACAAGGATTCTAACTTTTAAAGGTTTCGTCACAGCTATCATGTAGATGTAGCCCTTTTCCAATGACATTACTCCCCCACCCATATTTTCTAATCAAAGTAATTAATTTTAAATTGAAAATAGATAAAAATGAAAAACAAAGACTTAAAATACTTTAAAAAATTTGAACTATGCTTTTTTTTCAATTAAATCTCTAATAATTTATTATATTTAAACAAATCTTTAATCTTTGATGTACACTCTAACAAATTTTTCATATAAATGAAAAATTAATTATAATTAAATTAAATATTATATCTGAATATTTGACTAATTAGTTAATATATAATTTTTTTCACTTAAAAAGTAAAATTTAAATATCTTTTTTTCAAATTCAAAAAAATATTTTTTGTGGCGTGGGATCAATGAAGCAGTGCTGTGGATCACATCAAATTGTCATTAATCATATCAATTACCTTGCGGTCACATAAACACATCAACAATAAAATATTACTGTTCTATTTTTAAGCCAAATTATGTACTTTGTATATAATATTTAATTTCACTTTTTAAAATCTGCATTCGACCCTACCAACCAAACATGGTCATGTCCCCTATATATATATATATATAATTTTCTTATTAACTTTTTTGGGTCATTAAAGCACAATGTGACACTTAATGATGAGTCGGAATATGCAGTCCCTCTTAAACTCATTTTGTACGGTATGGCACAATGAAAAAACATTCAAAAGCAGTCTCGGGACATTATTTTTAAATAAAATTGAGCAAGGTGAGTATTCATCAATCCGATCAAAATTTGACTGGACACAGCTAAATTAGTTCAATTTGTTTGATTTTGATGTTAATTGATTAGTAGTTTGATTTATTATATTATTTTTAATCATAGAACATTTAAATCAAATCAATGAAAAATTTAATCATTTATAATATATAGTATATAAATATTAATAATAAATTATTAGTATTATGATTAATAAAAATAATAAAATTAACTAAATCAAACATAGAATCGGTTTCAGTTATTTGGGTTCTAGAATATAATTTGACCAATTCGATTACTTTTTATAAAAATTTTGTTAATTTGTTTTTTTTTGTTAATTTTAAAACTGAATTGACGAAATTGACCGAATACTTATCCCTTATGACAAGCATCATTTTACCTAAAATTTAGAAGATAATGGTTATTATACTAGTATTTGGTTAAATCAGAAGAAAAGAAGGAAGATTTCAACGTTAGATTCCAGAGTATTTATCGAAGGGGGATGGTAGAAACTGCTTTGGGTCCGTTAAATGTTGGTGAAAGTTGACGGTAGGTAGTGCAAAAAAGGTGGCATCCTGCCCTTGTATGGTATCCCAAGGGGTACTTCCATTGGGGAGGTTTAAAGCAAACATCCCTCTCTCTTATCTCTTTGCAAATTGGTGTTTTTCCACTCCCCCAGCTGGTACTGTCTTGACCTTTTGCTCTTTGCGCTGTTTCCCACCTTTGTTTTTCACTCTCCATCTTTTCTGTCGCTTTCTACATTTTCATCTGAAACTTGGTTCTTCTTTTCGACTTGCTTTGGTTCTTGTTAAGGAATCCGAAAAGCTTTCATGGAATCTTGAATAACTTTGTTCTTCGTTTTCTTGTTTGTTTGTTTTGTTCTTTTTTAACAAAGGAAAAAACAGAAGAAGAAGAAGAAGAAGAAACAGAATTTAGATTTGTTGCGGGTGGAAGCGAGAATGTCGAAGGCTGGTGCATTGGATCTCGCCTCGGGTCTCGGTGGCAAGATTGAGAAAACCGATGTCCTCTCTGCTGTTGAAAAGTATGATTCATCTTTCGTTTCATTTTTGGTTTTAGCTTTTGAATCTGTTGCTTTAATTAATATTCGCTTTTCTTTTCTTCTTTTCTTTAGATTTATTCTTTATCTTTACGTTCATGCTTTCCTTCCTCTGTTTTATATTCTTCCATCTGGCGATGGCGTATGTTCATGTATAAAGTAACAGAGAAATTGGCTTGAACACTCTACAAAATGACTTCTTTCTCATACCAGGCTTTGACTTGGATATCTTTCTCTTAAATAAAATGGTTTAATGCCTCTTACCCACTCCGTGGAGTGAGCCTTTTGGCTTGATTTACTGTTTTTTCTTACGTTAAGCTTACTTTCTCTTTACTTAATCTTGTTTTTTGGCTCATCATCTCTCTCAGATGACTTTAATTTCCAGATCGAGCTTACAGTTTCTCTACATTGTCCCCTCACCGTAAAACTGAACAAAAAAAACTAAAACCCTTCATTTCTACTACTTTTTATGTTTACACTAAGTTTAATCTCCCGCTGTCAAATATATGATTCTTCAGTTTCTGGGTAGTGCTGATACAGTCATTGAAACTGACGTTTGGGTGTTTCTCCTTTTGGCTATATTATTAAGGAATCAAATAAAAATGGGTGGGACATCGACTTGGTCATGACTGCTAGCTGTTAAAGTTGTAGATGTTTTATTATTTGTTTCGAACGGGCCGGTGGCTCAGATCAGCATTGGACTTTTTTGAGGAAAGTCTATATGCAGGCCAAACTTTTCCCCTCAAATCAATTGAATTAAATATGTTTGTGCTATATTATATATAATAGTAGCAGTTTATTGACATACCAACTCTATAAGTCAGTTAGCTTGAAGTAGATTGGACTGCTACATGAATTCTTTTCCTCCATTTTTTAAATTGATGTTCACTCCACACAATTACGGTTTTAGACTGGGTAGGTGGTATAATTAGGATCCTCCCCTTCTGTATCGTGGGCAGGGGGACTTAGGTTTGGCTAACAATTAATGACAAAATAGGCAAAGCGATGTATATACCTGTCCTCAACTAGACCACTGGATAGTTTCTTAGAAATCGAACTGTTTGTCCTTGCATTATATGCATGATGACTTAAAGTTCTGTGTCTTAACTCCTGAAATTTATGCATCTGTAATTGCACACTGTCATATAAGATTATGTTAATGATTCAGGTATGAGAAGTATCATGTCTTTTATGGAGGTGAGGAGGAAGAAAGAAAAGCCAACTACACTGACATGGTAAGGAGGGCTCTACTTTTACCAATCTTGCACTCAGTGTAACCTTCCAACCTGCTGCCTGATTTCTTACTTTAGATCATTTCCAACTTTTGTTAAGAATTATGATTATGTGCTTGTATGTTTGCTATTTCTTGTTTACTCTGCATTACTCAATGGCACTTTTAGGTGTCAATTTCATCAGGCTATAGGATGGTGCTGGTACCTGCCATTTTGTTTTATTCTCTTACAGCTTTACGGGCTGATAAGCCTAAACTAGGACTTGATTGCGTATGCAAATATTAATATACCATGTATTGAATTCAGGTTAACAAGTACTATGATCTGGTTACC